ATGCTTGCATCTATGACTCCTGATCTCTTTCCTAGGTTTTCTATCTCAAGGGTAGTTTCCCTTTGAGATTTCTTTATTGTTTCTACTTCCATTTTTAGATCCTAGATGGTTTTGTATAATTCCTTCATTGTGTTTTCTTGGAGTTCTTTTAAGGGATTTTTGTGTTTCCTCTTTAAGGGCTTCTATCTGTTTACCTGTGTTCTCCTGTACTTCTTTAAGGGAGTTACTTATGTCTTTCTTAAAATCCTCTATCATCATCATGAGAAGTGATTTCAATTCTGAATCCTGCTTTTCCAGTGTGATGGGGTGTCCAGGGCTTGCTGTGGTGGGAGAACTGGGTTCTGATGATGCCAAGTAGCTTTGGTTGATTATGTTCTTACACTTGCCTTTCACCATCTGGTTAACTCTAGTGTTACTTGTACTTACTGACTCTGACTAGAACCTGTCTTTCCAGTTATCTTGCTTGTGTCAGAACTCATCTGAGTCCAGATGTCTCTGTGATCTTGTGATCCTAAGCTCCTGGGTAGAAGAACTCCTGGGACTCGGGCTTCCTCTGGGATCCTGAAATCCTGCTGCTCTGAGTGCAGTGGTTTCTCTAGGATGGCTCAGGATATGGTGTCTCCACAGGAGCAGACCAGCTAGGTGTCCGCCGCTCTGAGTACAGTGGCTCCTCTAGGATGGCTCAGGATATGATGTCTCCACAGGAGCAGAGCAGCTAGGTGTCTGCCCCAGTCAAAAGAACCAAGCACGAGGCAGAAGGGAAGTGGTATTCTGGAGGGGCAGGGTTTGGGTTGTTGATGGGTCCTGAGCGCCTGTGGCTCCCAGTTGTAACTCTGGGGAGTAGGATAGTGGGAGAGCATTCTTACCCGCTGCTCTGAGTACAGTAGCTCCTCTAGGATGGCTCAGGATACGATGTCTCCACAGGAGCAGAGCAGCTAGGTGTCTGCCCCAGCCAAAAGCTATACTAAATATTTTTTAGATTTTTTTTTTTTAAATTTATGTGTTCGTGTGACTGTATAGTGAGTATGTGCTATGTATATGAAGGAGACCAGAAATCAGATCCTCTGGAGTTGTAATACAAGTTATCTGGTGCCCAATGTGGGTTCTGGGAAACAAATTGACATTCTCTGGAACAGCAGCAAGCATTCTTAACTGAGCTGTCTTTCTAGTACCTATTCAAATCATGTTTAACATTAAGGAAAATTAGAAATCTTTTAAAATTTTTTTTTTGGTTTTTTCGAGACAGGGTTTCTCTGTGTAGCCCTGGCTGTCCTGGAACTCACTCTGTAGACCAGGCTGGCCTCGAACTCAGAACTCCTCCTATAAGTTGGAAGCCAACCAAGTCTATACAGTGAAACTGTTATTCAAAAAAAAAAAAAACCCCACACAAACCTAAAGTAAGTAAAAATTGTTTTTAGCCGAGCATGGCTGAGCTTGCTTGTAGTTTCAGCACCCAAAAGACTAAAGGAGGATGATTCCTGAGACTTATAGATTAGCTTAGGCCATAGTGTAGGTCCCATTTATAAGCAAAAAAATAAAAACAGAACTTTAAAATATTAGTTCTGAACTTAAGCGATGGCTTAGTGTTTAAGAGCGCTTACTCCTTTTGTAGATAACTAAGGTTCTATTTCCAGCACCCACAAGGCAGCTCACAACTCTGTAACTGCAAACCAAGAGGATCCATTGGCCTCTTCTGGCCTGTGGGCACCAGGTACCTATGCATATATGGAGGCAAATAATCATATACATAAAATCTTTTTAAGAATCATTAAAATTAAATGTTGATTGTTTTTTCTTTATTCCCCTGGTAAATACGTTTCTGTCTTGTCTTCTCAGCTGCACGCTATGAAGAAGGGGAATCTGAAGCAGAGAGCATCACTTCCTTTATGGATGTCTCAAATCCTTTTCATCAGCTTTACGACACAGTTAGGAGCTGTCGGAATAACCAAGGGCAGCTAATAGCCGAACCTTTTTTCCATTTGCCTTCTAAGAAAAAATACCCAGATTATTATCAGCAAATTAAAATGCCCATATCACTTCAACAGATCAGGTAAGACTGTTTCTACACTACTCAGTATAGATATGTCTTCTTGTAGTTGAGGCTGTAGCTTCCAGAAATAGATAAGGACATGAACTGGTATAAAATGTTGTTTTCCTCAGTATTTAAATGTCTGTCTTATAACTGAGTAAAGTAAAAACAAGCAAAAAATCCTTCATGGTTACACTATTACTCATTGATGTTTTACTTAATTAACTTTTTTTAAAAAACAGTCTATAGTATGATCATGGCTGGCTTCAGAGCCCTCCTGATCAGCATATAGAAGATCAGTTTACCTGCCTTACTAAAATGATGCAGAAATGAAGGATAACATGGTTACTATGTGTATCAAAATTTGATTTTAAATTCCATTCGATATTAATGGCTGTATGACCCAGCATGGTCCTAGTAATATTTTTTAGCACAGGGAGGGAGGTGGATGCCTCCCCAAGCAGCATAGAGAAGACAATGGCCTGTGTGAGTTGTTGAATGCTCACTTAGTATGCCTTTGGGTTCAGTCTCTAGCTCCACTAAAGAAAAGAAAAGTTAGAGTTAACAGAGACTTTACTTTGTACAAAGAGTATTAAGCCCATCTGAGACCTGATGGTTAGAAATAGTGTCTAAAATGCCTGCATTCTTAAAATTTGTGCTACTTCTTTATAAATGACTCCACTGGAAGAAAGTAGTTAATAGACACAGACCACTCTTCCTCTTGAGAGCGCCAGCATGAGAGCCACCTTCACTGTTTGCATGTCTCCTATTGAGGCAAATATGTTATTCTGAATGCTTTTTTAAGACCTTATCATTAGTAACCTGTGTGAACTAGAATGGACTTATTTTCAGAAATCAGTAGTTCACAGTGATTCTTTATTGAGATCCTCTAAAATCTCTCATAATTTTTGTTTCTCAGGGTTTTTTCACTGGAAGTTTTCCTAGTGTGTTTTCATAGTTGATTAGTAAGGCCTTTAATTTATTTAGATTTTCAGATAAACTGTGGTATTATCCAAGTTTAATAGTGTTTTTGACCTTACTTTTGAACGTGGAAGCCTATTACATGTGGCTAAAAAAGACATGTGGTGCTTGTGGATTTTTTTTTCTTTAAGTTGGACTTTCATGAAGAATAGTTGATAATTTTTATAATAAGAACTTATAATCATTTATTTGTCTTTCACAGAACAAAGCTAAAGAACCAAGAATATGAAACTTTAGATCATTTGGAGTGTGACCTGAACTTAATGTTTGAAAATGCTAAACGCTATAATGTTCCCAATTCAGCCATCTATAAACGAGTTCTAAAATTGCAGCAAGTCATGCAGGTATGTTGCTGTTTGTTGTAGCACTGAAATAGTTTCATGTGTTTGGTGTGTCCTTTTGAGATGTGTCCCCAATCTCCATCCCAGGAATATTAAGTCATTTCTTTGTACTACAAGTACTGTTGAATGTGTTTTTAGACTTGTCAGTGCCCCGTGGAGGAGAAATAATATTTTAAATACCATAAGTATTGAGGTAGAGGAAGCAAGGATTTGGCCCTGTGGGAAGAACCAGTTTCGGGATTCTCAGGAAGTTATCCTTCAATTCGAGATGGTAATTGTGCTGTCTGTAGTGATCCCAGCACTTAGGAGGAGGAAGAAGCCAAAGGTTCTTTATACAGCTAGGTTTCGCTGTATAACAAGGCTCTGTAACTGCCACCATATCTCTCTCTCTCTCTCTCTCTCTCTCTCTCTCTCTCTCTCTCTCTCT